AATAATCTTTGATTAGCCATTGGAGTAAAGATCTAGAAAGGTATAACGAAAGATTTTTTTCGTCATGGACAAAATGACGTTCAACTTACAGTATCTTAAGCCTGGATAAACCAACGAATAAGTAGTCTGGTAGGTCTTTCACCACATTTTCCTGAAGATATCTAAATTAGATTTTAAATTAAAGTAAAATGATTTGGGAAATATACATTTGAAAATTGCTAAAACAAACGCAATACGTTTATATCTGTGTCACTCACAGGTATTGTAAGTTCCTCGTCGAGTTAAATGCGTCCATTTCAATTCTATTTATGCGATTCTGCCTAAGGCTCCTTGGGAAATAATATAAGGCAATAATCAGATAAAATGTTGGTTTGGCCAGTTTTTTGAAAGTACGTTTGCTTACTTACAAAGTAGTCAACGATGCTAACGATGCACTAAACGTTTTCGCCGAAATGGTGTCAATCAAATTAGCGCTGCAGTCCCTTAAAGAAAGTAGGAAAAAGATAGTTTTTCCAAAATTTTAATTTCATGACCAAATCTTGTAAAAGAAAATAATAATAGAAATAAAAATAATAAACTCACAAAGTGTGAAGATTGCCCATATTGTCCAACATGCCGTTAGGTAAGGCCCGTATGAAATTCGAGTCGAGTTTCCTGAAATGTAAATAATGCTTTGAGACCTGCCAAAACTCCCTAACAGCACTTAAAAATCATGAGAAGTATTTTTTCAGTCAGTGACACAGGCGGCTTGGTAGAAAAAATCCAAGTGCTCCAAACAGGTGTCGAAGCTATGACCGTGCGGTTACTAGTCCAGACTTCTACCACCAAGCCACGGGAGACTCCTGGGAGTTTCAAGGTTCGACTCGATTTGTAGAAATTGTTTGATTGCAAGCGATTTGATTTTTAAGTGTAAAAAGAGTCGATGCTTTTAATTTTAAAAATGTAAACATTTAAAATTTTCCTTTTTTTAGTTTTTTTTTTTACTTACAAAGTTTGCAGTACAGAACCATTGCCGAATGCACCTCTTTCAATTTTGAAGATACGGTTTCCACCGAGGTCCCTGAAGAGATTTTAAAACATATTTTTATAATATACTGTTATACTGAGAAAATAAACGTACTGTTTACTTATCGAAATGATTAGTGTGAATGTAACTTACAAATACTTCAGACTTGAAAGATCAGAGAGTTGTTTCTTGGGTAGATGCGAAATTTTATTCCTCTGAAATTGTCTGGAGGAACAAAAGCCGTAAAATACATTGTTACGATGCAATTTAATCGCTGGTCATTATTATTATTATTATTATTATTATTATTTATTATTATTATTATTATTATTATTATTATTATTATTATTTTATTTTCCATTACACCACATCGAGCGTTTGGTATATCTTCTCAAACGATCAATAATTATTGGCGAAATTCACAGCCAAAGTTTGTGGTAATCAGTATGGTAATCAGTATCCGATATATCCAAACCTCGTCACAATGCTTTCTATTTTTGAATTTAATTAGTGAAATTGAGTTTGAGATTTAACAGTCGCAAGTATCTTATAATAAGCTTACATTACGGCTGCCTTAGAAGGAATGTTTCCTGGTAAAGCATTCAGTTTCCTTCCCTTCTTCACTGTTACCACCATCTCACGACTCTTCCGTGAAATTGGACTACACTCGCAACTTGACGGACAACCTCAAATAGTAAAAAGTATTTCATTAATCACATTATTCTTATAGTAACGTTGCATTTTTTTGTTTCCATTTTCCTTCAAAGAGGCCGTAAAAACATTAAGCTGGCCGCGTGGCAGGGATCTTCAATATAGTTTGTTTCTCAATCAGTTTGTAGTAGGCTGTTTTAATGTTAGCCATTTTTTGTTTTGTTTTGTTTCGTGTGTTTGTGCCTTTTTCAGAGAGAACTTTAAATCCTATCATGCATATATTTTGAGGGAGAATGCAAAAATATCTGCGGTACGCAGTTTAGCAGATATTTGTTTTCTACACGTTCTTATATGGTTAATTACGTGTATTATCTTGTCTGTTTGTATTTCGGTATACAATTATATGTGTCTTGTTCATTCGTATTCGTTCTTCGGGTCTGTGAACGCCACAACCCACAGTCTGATTTCATCGCTCGCTTAATGAGCAAGAAGCAAGGATCTTCAGTTCCGTCCGTTAACGTTAGCGATGCCACAATCGTTGCGTTCCATTAATGAGGTTATTAGAGCTTCTGTTGCGGAGTTTATCGGTTCTTTAGCGGATAACCTAACGCAGGTTATCAAATATCGCCTTAGTAGCTTCACAAAGCGATTTTCGGAGGAAATTGCGAAAATAACGCGACAGTCGAACAAGCCGTTAATACTGTTAATAAGGCCCGCAGCGAAGTTTCAGTTGTGAAAGAGAAGGAATCAGCAGTAGCTCGGGATCACGCCCTGCATAAGTGCTTGGCAACTTTAAGGAACTGACGCGTTAATGTCCAAATTCTACCGCCAAGTGAAGTCGATCCTGGGAGCGGGTACTGGTTGGTAATTTCTGCGCGTATAAAGGTATTATAAATGGCCGATAAAGTGACTTTGCAATTGGCTGGTCTACTGTGAATGGATACCTTTCCGGCGAGCTTGCGTCGAGTTTTGAGGACGAGAGGAAGACTGATGTATAGGGCAGAGAGAAGAGGAGAAACGAAATCCAAGGCAGGCGTTGCCGTTTTCGTCCCGTGGATCGCGATCGAAAGGTCTAGGCTTCTTCCACTTCTACCGCTTTTTCCTTTCAATTTGGATCTTCAGCGAGTGCTCAGCCAAATCGATGGGTTTTAACTCTTCGCATCGTTTAAGATAAGTATTTCTCTTTGCTTTACATCACACTTCAGGCTTGCTTTGTTTTTTTCCTTCGGCGGACATATGGCGTTGCACCCAGGCTATATCCAATATTCTCCATGATTTGTTGCCTATGTTGTCTCTTGTTTTTCTATTAACTTCTAGAAAGTGCAGAAGGGATATTTTGCTACTTACCTTCATATTGGAAACACGCTTCTTTATCAAAGTCAGCTAAAAAACGAGAGATGTAAAATGTTTAAGAAATACGAGTGTTACTACAAAACGTAAAACGTAAGGCTTTGGGGTGCTGCAGTATTTTAAATACTATCGAACTATACAATTCCGGAGAAACATTACGTCATCCAAAATGACGGTAATTAGATTTCGGCCACCTTGAACGTAATTTACATTGTAGATTACATTCGGAAGTGTCATTAAACGTTTTCCCCGCTGGACAGAATCAATCTCCTCTTTTTGAAATATTTTTTTCAATGCGTTATATCGAGAACCGCACAGGTTTTCTCCAAAGTGACTTGAAGGCCATACAAAAGGCTACCGCCCATTCTTAGCAAAGAGCACTGAAAAGACCCTGTTAGTATTAGTTCTCATCCTAGTGTCTGATGATGAATCACACTTAAGCCGTCTAAATTTAATTGCTCACCTTTCTCTGAGGTATAGTGCAGTTTAAAACCTGACCCACTAACTTTGTCATCACTGACGAAAGTAATCGTCATAGCATTTGAAGATGATACAAGGAAGGCTGGAAATCTTTCTCCGCAGTATCTTCCCATAACCTTTCTGGACTTAAGTCCACTATATACATCTAGGAAGTCGTTAAAGCAGGAAGGATGGTCTTCTAATTGGAATTCCAGGAATCGCAGTTTTATGGTGTTTCCACGAGGAACATTGATGATCCACTGGCAACGCGTCAGCGGTGGATAATACCCAGGGTGGTGTGGGGATAAAATCATGCCTGACATTGTGGTTAAGTTTCTGTCGCATTCTGAAAGAGAAAATCAATTCATAATCATTAAAACAGAGTTAACGGACATTAATCACTTTTGTTGTAAACAACACTGCACCTTTAGTTGCCCTAAAGGGCAATGGATGACAGTATCCTGGAACCACGTGAACACCTCTGACGCTAATGTAACCAGGTTCGCTGTCCAAATCTGCTTCCAGAGATACCTGCAGAAGTATACGTTGGTATTCCATTACTGATGAAATTCAGTTCTTACGAAGGAGAAAATACAGTTGAGTATCGTGGCTAGGAATCAGTTGAATTTAAAATGAGCTCAATTTATCACCTTTAATTTTTGAAACAAAGCATAGATTTACTTTAAAAAATAAAAGAATTAATTCTCGAAGAATGGCGTACAAAAGTCGTGTAGAAGAGACCGAATTAACATTTTTGCGCACGAAAACACTAACGCCGGTGGCGTTATCGCCTTCTGTCAAAAAAAAAATTGAAATGACGAGGAGGAAGAGGGAAAGCAACCGTTAATGAGATTCCTGTGCAAAGAAGTTAATCGAATTTATAGCCATAATAAAACATAGTGACTTGGTGTTCATTACACTGTGTTTTGCAACACTCGTAAGTGTCACTCTTCCGTATTTCCATATCACGTCAGTGTTGTTTGACTCGTTCACTGCCCACATCAGCCTCCGCGGGTAGTCAGTTAAATCCAGTTGTTGGTAAATACGAAGGAAGTGTCTCCCAGGGCCGTAGATGAGATATCTGAACCGTACACAGATATTGTGACCCTCATAAGATCGTTCATACAGTGGACTCTCGAAGAAGGATGTTTGAGGTGGTTGCGACGTGTTGTTGTTGAACACCATGAAGCGGTATCCTTTGTTGGAGAAAATAAAATGTGACGTCATAACTAGTAAAGAGGTTATCCATTCAGTTTTTCTCCAAATTAACAAAAAACAAAAACAGAAATGCTTCCAGAAGAAACAAAACATTTTATTTGAACATATTAAAATGTTTTTCGTGAAAAATCATTAAAGTTATCATGGAAATTTATTGATAGACCTAAACTTCCGGTAAGATCTAGGCTGGAGCTTGTTTTATTACCAATATTGGCGATGAAAGGTGCTCTGCAATTGGATAGTCGAAATTTATAGATTCGAAGAGTTAGCTGATTAAAGGTAACAAATTACACTTTAGCATGTTCATGGTATGTGGTTACTTAAAAAAAAAAACACTGCGTACGTCACCTTCACCATCTGCACACAAAGCAGGTTTTTCGACTTTCACGTCCCCAACCAAACCATTGATAAACTGCGACCAGGGGAAAATAGCACGCGAAAAGTCTTCGCCACAGCCGTGTGACATCCACTTCATATCCTTTCTATCAAGGGCTTTGTTGAAGATTTTAACATGGCTTATCAAACCAATAAACTGTCCAGCTTTGGGATCTTCTTTTGCAAGATCCCTTGTCAGGCCAACAATAAACTCACCTCCTCCTGTCGAAAATAATGACAGTAAGGTTTTTAGAAGCATCGTCGTTTACCTCCTTTCTCCTGACTTATGACACTTTATGTTTCAAAGGGTACTTCACCTGAGAAGTCACTTCTTATTTTTTAACTTCCGATATAAGGACATTCTAATAATTCAGTTTTTATCGTGAAATTTAGAGCTTTAACTGATTGGGAGACAATTCACGACGGGCGTAGAGAGTGGTAGACGAGGTAAACATTGCTGTGAAATGTTTTAACAGATTCACTATTCCTAAAATTTTAGTCTTTTAATTGTCATGCAAGCTTAAGGAGTGGGAATATGTTAGAGCATTTCACAGCTCTTACAATGTTTACCTCCTGCCAGTCTGCAAGTCTCACCCTCCTTCTACGCCCGTGGCAAATTGTCTCCCTAACTGATTCGTGGCACGAACGAGGTTACGTAAATCAAGTCGGGTTATTCAGTTTCACGATCTAATTTGTCCAACAAAGACATCTATAGCATGACAGCTGTTTGCATACCAGGAATCGTTTCTCCCTCAGAAAATTTCGTTCCTGAAAGTATTGACAGGTCGTTAAGAACAGTAACTTTTCCGCCTTGAGAAGTCCATACCAAACAAATATGATGCCAATAGCCATCATTTGCAGCCGAGTTAGTTTTTGTCCTAGTAAAAAGGTAAAATGTTATTAACGCCATGTGTTACAAGAAACCATTGACCATTATCATTATTGCGATATTTTGTGGACGATAAAAACAAATAAGATGAACATTGCCCTACACGTTAAGAAGAGACCAAATAAAAATAAATTAGGTTAACTTACGACCTCGACTCGCCAATATAAACATAGAATCCTCGATAGTCCACAAGTGCAATAGCAGTGATGTATTTTCCTTTAGTTTCATATCGGACTCTGTACCATATGGGAGTCCCTGCACTCGTACTATCGGAAGTCTTCATCCAGAAACAGATCGTGAAAGCAACGAGATCTGGAAGATCAGTTATGTTGACATGTCCATTGTGATTTTCAACGAAGTCCAGTTGGTAGTTACTGTCCTTTAAAAAGTCTATAGAGGGATAACGTCGACATAAATAAGCTGTGTCACCAAATTTATCCAAATTCAAACAGTGAATTAACCGCCACCAAATTGGATGAAACATAAATATAACAGCTCAAAGCGGTGAAAGAAGGTATAAATAACACAGCAAGCACAAAAGGAGGCACGGCTGGAAAAAATTTGAAGAAGACTGTAACGGATTGCAATTGAGGTTTTTTCACATTTGTTAACCTAACAGTTCTTCAAAGTTCATTCTCCTTGTCTGTAACTTTTGATATAATGTTTTGAGGACAAATCAGTTGTTTGACATGAAGCAGTGGTGATTTTGTCATTTGCAAGTAATTTATTTGCTTAAATTAAGTTCCATTAAGAATAAAGACATGTATTTGGCAACATTGACAACTGGAACTAAGACAGCCAAGACGTCACAGCTCCTTTAAGGGTCATTTTGAAGATCACCTGAGTGCAGGGTAAAGCCGTGAAACTCGCGATACATGAAGTGAATCAAAAATTATTTGATACTAGTGCCAATGTTTTCCATAACACTACAGACTCTATCTAAAATGCCATGAAAATTAAACGGGGAAAAATATCCCTATCTTCAATAACCTGGTTCTGAGTTTCTCCCTTTGCTTTGCACATACGATTTAACTTGCTTGGTAAGGGTTGCCATGTCCAACTTCACGGCTTGTTTCCAGAGTGAAACGCTTTGGTTCGAATTTCTCCATCCACATAATCCTTCGTAAAACTGAAAACATCCAGCGTATACTAGAGAAGAGTAGAAAACAAAGAACTGAAGAATTTGAAAGGACTATATGTGTTGAAAAAAGTATTAACACTGGAAAAATGCAAAGTAATGATTGAATCAATTGATGAATTGACTAGTAATAAATTATTTTAAAGAAAAAAGTAAGAACAAGAACATTGATTTTTCCAACACAAAAGATCAATGAACAAAACTCTGATGAATGATTTACCAGTACGAAAAGAGATCGTGGGCGCGTAATTACTTACTAGAACACCACCCCCACGTTGGGTGGTGCTGGTTTCTCGATTTAGCTCCACACCACAAGCGTTCCGAATCCACACTTGTACATGTATTGTGTTCTGTTTTCTTGTAAACGAATGGAAATTCGCAACATCCTCCAGCAGCCGTACTTCGAATAGGACAAAGTGCTCGACTTGGGCCTGCGTAGGAAAAACTTAGAAACCTAAGAAACCCATTTGT